CGTTATTCCTCTTCAGAACTTAATTTCTCTTTTTCAAATGTACTAAAATTTAGATTCTATTTGAAATGTGAAAGAAAGTTGTAGATGATCTGCTGTTAAGGTATGAAATTTATAACTGAGCATTTTTGATAAAGTTTTTATGTTTATTGCGATTCTTTTTAATAGTATCCTAGATTTGATGACACATACAAATTCATAAACGCGCTCAAAAGTACTTGTAAACGTCGCTAATTTTTACACTATACTACACAATTAATATTCAGGTACAATTCTGTAACTGCCGAGACACGTGATACAGTATTATATTATTACACCATAATAATAATAATAATAATAATGTTCAGGAATAGGGAAATACCTTGAAAACTGATATTTAACAAGAAGAAAGAGTCAGAGGACGTAACGCAATGTGAAAGCTTCTAGAATCGATAAGTTATTTTAACAAACCTGGAGTAGGTGGCGGAGGACTTTGATTCTGAATTTGCGGGTTCGTTTTACCGAAAGTCGTCAAGGCCCAAGTGGAGGACGGTGAGACAAAGAACAACAACAACAGAAACGTCGCGAATATGCGGTAACTTCTTGCCTTTTTCATTTCTTCCGAATTTCTTACCGCCTTCCTTACTTGTTGCAGACTACGGTATATGTAGGAACGCGTGAAACCGTCAAAGAAATTGCCACTGAATTTCACTAAACACTGAAGGCGATCACAGCGCGGATCCTAGAATGCAACACCTGCTCACTAAGATATTAACGACCTTTGTTTCTTTCGTTGTAAAAAATTTTAAGTTCACAAAATTATTTCGAATTCTCGTGACGCGTTATACCGATGTCTATTATCTAGATCATTATCGTATCGTTAGAAGAGGAGTAATGATCGAAAGAAGGATCGAATGAAAACTTCGTCGCACTTTTCGAATCTCTTGTTACTCAAAGGGAATTGTTTTACGTTCTACTACAGAACTGCGTGTTGCAAGGACGTCGGAAGGCCTTTTAAGGCTTTCAAGGTATCCCCACCCTCCGCACCGTGCGCTGCCACCACCGAGCCAGAAAGTATGTAACGTAGTACTCTTACGCGAAACCGTGGGCTGGCCTGTCTACCTGCCCACCTTGTCGTTGAAGAATCAGCGTGTGCTCTCGCCACCCTTAAGTTTCGATCGCCGTAGGAGTTCTGGCCAGGAGAAACGGAACGGTGCTTACCGTGCTAGCAACAAGCCATCCAAACTGTGACGAAGTCACGACATGTTTTACTTTTGCATTTTCATCGAGCAACTATTTATTACACGGAACTACCAGATTTCTTTACACGTTTCACAATACCATTATTTTCTTTTATGCCTATTACAGAAGTTTTTGTTAATTAAGCTCTTTTCCTTTACTGCTTATTTATTAATACCTTGAAAATCAATGTTACCCACCAAATTGACTAAAAATAAGGATTTACACCATTGAAGTTTGCGTCTCTAGATTAAAAGTGTGCGAGCTCTTAAATAAAACTAATAAAAAAGCACTCAGATTTTAACAATTATGGTAATTATATTAAGGATGTATAGGCTATATACTTAAACAATGCTAGCATGTTGAATTTATTATAGATTCCTATTACTATTAAAAAGCTACCTGCAAAATTTTA